TGAGAACGCAATCTTTTTTTTCTAACATAGACTGCAAGTCAATTGCAGATGTCTAAGATAATGCAATTCGGAAGAGCAAAAACTGTAAACCAGATAGTTTTTATGGATAAAATATGACATGTATTTGTCACCATTCCACCTTGTGTTCTGTGAGGTGCCATCATGTGGGTTTGGGCTCGTGGCTGTTGTCAGGTGCTGTGGAGCCGGTTCCGACTCACAGTGACCCTGTGTACAGAGGAGGAAACGCCCACCCGGCCCTGCATCACCCTCACGGTGGTTCTTATGTTGGCGCCCATGGCTGCAACCCCTGTGCCCATCCTCCTCGTGGGGGGGCCTTCCCTGTCTCTTTGTTGCTGCCCCTCCCCTTTGTTAAGCATGACGTCGTCTCTAGGGATATCATGTCCCAAGGCTGTGAGACAAAGTCTCGCCATTCTCGCCTCTACAGAGACCCTCTAATTCAACCGAGCAGAGCTTGTGCCCTCTTCCCCCTTGTTGCTGCGTGAGGCCCTGGCTGCAGCCACAGGGTCATCCATCTCATTGATCGTTTTCTTCCTAGTCTTCACTGGTCCTCTCCAGGGACTCGCCCCTCGTAGCACCATGGTCCAAGTACATTCAACCAAGGGTCACCATCCTTGCTCTGAAGAGCATTCCTTGCTTGTAATTCTCCCGAGACAGACGCGTTCCTTCTCCTGGCAGTCCGTACATTCCACGTGCTCTGCCAGCACCATCATCCCGACACATTGCTTCTCCTCCTGTCTCCCTCAGTCGCTGTCCAACTTCACAGGCATGTGAGGCGACTCAAAAGTCCATGGCTTGGGTCAAGTGCACCTTAGTCCTCCAAGTGACACCTTTGTTCTTCAACGCTCTAAAGAGGTCTTGTGCAGTAAATCGGCCCAATACAATATGTTACTTGATTTCTTGGCTGCTGCTTCCATGAGCATTGATGTGGATCCAAATAGAGTGAAATCTATGACCACTTCAAGATTTTCTCCATTCATCATGATGTTGCTTATTAGCCTAGTTTTGAAAATGTGTTTTCTTCATGCTAAGGTGACCCAGCCTAGAAGATTAATATATGCACTGAAACATTTTCTTTAAAATTATATACACTGTACCTTTTAATACTTGACTATAATATTATCTAGATGAGCAAACTTTAGAAACTATTACATAGGTGGAATTTCCTTTTTAAAAAAATCTCTCGTGGAGATCTAAAATTGTATACTGAATTCCACTCCAGCATTTCATATCGCAAGTACTGAGTGCATTTTAATAAAATCTGCATGGCAGTGGGTGGGGAGGTAAAGTGATGGGAGGTAAAGTCGGGCCAAAGGAAAGCAGATATCAAAGAGTTCAAGAAGGAAGAGAATGCTTTGAAACGAATTGTGGTAGCAATTGTACAATCCTGCTTGATGTGATTGAACTACGGAATGATATGTTATCTGTATTAGCTCCCAATAAAATGTTTTGAAAAAAATCTGTATTGCATATCTCTATGTATGCTACTTTCCCCCAAATTACCAGAATTATTAATTCCTTTTATTACAAGCTTAATATGGATAAGCTATAACATTCACACTCCTAATTCAGAAATAGCACAATAAGTGGGTCTGTAACATCATATATGGTTTGTTGTCACTGATACTCTCCACTATCCTCTCCTGCTTCCCATTGTTTTTTGCACAAAAGCATACTTTTTAAAAGGCACTTTCAAAATTGTGCTTGTCCTTTCCACACAGAACCAAAAAAAGGGAAGGAGGGCGGAAGCGGACCAGCAAAAGGTGAGTTGGAGGGAGGGCAGGAGGGAGGACGAGGAGGCTGAATGCAAGGAAACTGGTAGCAGAAGGAGATCGGGAAGGATGGTTGTGGGCCCAGAGGGCATTTCTCCTCATTACCTTTCAGAAGCATGATGGAGAGTTTGTTACCTGCATGCTGTCTGCTGGATCCAGTTGGTATAATTTAAAAAGTGGGGAGGGGTGATGCTTTGAAAGATTTCTATCACACGCTTTTCCAAAAGAAAAGCAACAATGATAAAACTATCACAAGCACTTACAGAGATGCCAGCAAGCTAATCGATGGTTTCCAAGCACCGGTGGGAGATGTCTCTTTCCTTGGGATGATGGCAAGTTGGAAAATCCATCTCTCTCACCCAGACTTTTGTTTTCCATAGAACAGTTCACATACTATGTGGATTGTCCCAGATTTTACCAATACTTTGGAAAGCTAACACCTCCTTGGGGACCCCTCTGCACGATGCAGATTTATAGGTTGACTTCTATAGCTACTAATATCCT